ACCCACTTCGTCACACACCTTTCCAAGCTACACAAGTGGAGAGCGACAGCGAGGATTCTGCGCCCGCTTCCGGCGCAGAGTCCGGCGATAAAGGTGGTGCTGGTGAGGAAAATAAGCCGCTGATCTCAATCCTGCGTCCGCCCTAGCACTCCTCCCAAGAAATCAAGTGCCGATCACTCAGGCGCGGCTAAGATGGTCATGGTTCCCGGGAAGGATTCCCTCCCCGCGCCCGACCCCAAAGGTCTCCAGTCTACGCCTCCACCTAGTTCCCAGGGCAACTCTCTCTTACGACCCGTTCCAGGGGCGTCTGAGGCTAACCTCTTGGGCCATTTGTTCGACGCTGATTACGACATGGGAGGGGGTGACACTGAAGCGGAGAGCTGGAAGAGAATCAAGAGGAGGACCACCCCATGGGCGAGGGGCTCGGAGCGCAAGACCCTCCTGAGTCTGAGGACGTCGAGCTCGAGGGTGGCTCGGGATCAGATCCCCGGATGTCTGCGGACGGGCTACGCCAGATCGGACCCGCAGTCTACAACCCCCAGACCGACCCGAAAGGATTTTTTACAGACCCATAGATTCCGGTGCAGACCCGGTTCGGCCTGTGGAGGAATTGGCCCAAGTCTTGACCCGTTCCAAGGTCGAGGATGTGCGTATGGATGTGCTGGAGTATTGGCAGATGGATACAGACCGTTGCACCTTGGCTGAGGCGGAGGATGCCACCCAGGGCCGTACCACAGAGGACATCGTCGTTCACGTCAGTCTCCGGAAGCACATACTGGTGGAGTTCCTGCGGCAGGCGCTGATTCTCTCTTTCTTGGATGAGGTATCCTGGTTCCAACACGTACCCGAGGAGTTCTTTGATCGGGCTTTGGCTGAGGCCGAGGACGACGACTGGGAGCTGGGGATAGCCGAAGGCGTGAATCCTTGGCCTTCGGTGCCACTTCAACCTCGGGATAGCCCCAGTCCTTCGGAGCACAAAGAGGACGCTTCCGGGGACGAGCGGGATGGCAGTGAGCCTGATGACGAGACTTCTCTTGGCAAGCGTTCCCAGCCCAAGTGGAAGACCCCGGCGTGGAAACGTCCCAAGCGAATTGTACCCCCGACTCCCTCGCCCGGCAAGTCAAGTTCTTCGCGCACTCCCCGGGAGAGGACTGCGCCAGCCCTTTCTGACGTTTCTTCTAACGACGAGAACACCCCTCCCCGTCGGGTCAAGACCTTGCCGTGGCTCCCGGAGATGGGTTACGAGGGGTACCACACGGATACCCGGTTGGCCAAGTCCTGGATCATCTACAACACGCGAGTGCGCCGGACCAGCACTCGCCACAAACATCAAAACCGGGGCTTTCCAGACTACTAGGTCATGAACGATGAGGTTCACTCTGTGGCGGAACGAGTCCCAGTCGCGGAGTATCAGGACATTATCGAGACCCAGGCTCCCTGGTACGACATGTTTGATGAGCGTGTCAGGGTCCTGTTGTTCGTCCGGGATACGCTGACTCCGGGGTTCGTGGGCATTGCCAAACGCTATGTCTTGTTCATGTGGGTCTGGCGCCGGGAAGAGTGGGAACGCACTCACTGGATCGTGCTGAACCGAAATGTCGAAGCACATGCTCTTCTTCACCAAGATCACGCCGGGCGCCAAAGGAAGTATGAGAGAGCCTTCAAGGACGTCCAGGCGTATGTGGCTACGCTTCCTCCTCCTGAGTGCAAACGGTTCCGGACCGGGGCAGCGTTTTGGCGTCTCTCTCGGAAACCGTGCGTGTGTATCCCCATGGACCCATCATGGCTTCGACGGTACCTTGGGCGTCCCAACCGTGCACCAAGTAAAACGGTGTGTCGAGTCGGGTGAAGTCGAAAGAGGTGTTCAGCGCCCACATGAGCTTTTCGGGTAACTCGTCCCAGTCCCTCTGGTCTACCGTCTGGACGCACGCCTTGACACTTCGGATCACTGTCTGCTCCCGAGCATCTCCCGGAAGTGCTTGGACACCCGACCCATGAACCGTGTGGCGGATCATTTCGCTGGCCCCGAACCTTCGGAACACGCATTCTTCGTAGGCTTCGGTGAACCGTGTGGCGGATCAGTTCGCTGGCCCCGAACCTTCGGAACACGCATTCTTCGTAGGCTTCGGCCACATCTTGGGCTTCAGTGCTCGCCATGGCTTTGCACATGATGTAACCTGAGAACGCGCACTGGAACAAGAGTAGTGCTGTGTTCACCCGGGCTGACTGAGGCAACGGTATGATGAAGTCTATCGAGACGACTTGGAACGGTCGCGTAGCCAGCAAGTTGCCGGGTGATGAGCCTGGGTTCCGGGGTAACCCCTTAGCCGTGACGTAATCTACGCACTCTTTAACATATCGCTCCGTGTCCTTGAACATCCCAATCCAGTAGAATTCTTTACGCAATCTCTCATATGTCTGGATGATACCCTGGTGTGCGCCTTGGAGGTCTGCGTGGCAGTGGTGCAGGATATCCTCTTGGAGGTCTTGGGGCACCACCAGACGGAGGCGATCGGCAGCGTCCTGGGGGCGTTCCGGAGTGTTTCGACTCACATAGAACAACGCGTCCCGGGAGTCCAGCACAAACTGGTCCGCTATCTTGACCAGGTGTGTGGTTTGCCTCAGGGACAACGGTTCTGTCTCCCCTCGGATGAAACTTACTAGGGGTGCTAGTCCTGGGTCGTGCGCCTGGTGGGAACAGATCCTCCTCCATCGTTCCATACGGGCGTCCTCAGGGTCTTCTTCGGAGTCCTGGGAGTCGGGTTTTCGGGGACCGACTGCCAGCCCGTCTTCCGCGCCTTTGGTTCCCAGCTCGTCGGCCCCGGGGTCGACAGATTCTAAGTGGTCAGCTCCGGATTCGGGAGTCGATTCTTCAGCGGTATTGCTTTGCTCGGACGCCGAGCGCGTCGTCACGAATGCTTCACCCTCCGGGGAACACCAAGGTAT